CTTTCAATGTGATGGTGTAATCTGGAATTTGTCATCTCGCTGTTGCTTATTTTCCTTGCACTGGGGAGCATCAGTCCGGTTCCTATTCCACCGGCAAGTCAGAATAAAATATTACATCATGACACACACTCACGCTTCTTTCCGTCCGGCCGAAGGAACCCTGACCAGCATTGATCACCGCAGCATCGTGGAGGATTGACTGTCAGCTTGCCTTATTCCACCTTTCCTCTCAGGTCCACTGCATGAACCTGTCAGATAAATGATAAAGAGCAAGAAAGGTAAAAGAAGCTACAGAAGATGCAATCTCGGAATTTGTCCTTTAATATTATGTGGCCTGTGATGGATCTTGTCCTTCTATTGGTTGGGATCGGTGCCTTCTCCACCCTGCTTCTGAGCTGTGCCAGTCTTTCCACCGTACGCGAAAGTCATTTTTCTCTGCTACTTTACCCCTGCAAGCCACACCTTAGTGAATTTCGCCTTGATTTGTCTCTGTTGCTCTTCGTCATCTGGCATGGACTGTCTCGTCTTATGCCACTTACAAAGAATCTCTGCCTGGATCAAGGTCCTCGTCTCCGCGCATACCTTCTCCCTTGCAGTTGAGAGTCCCTCAATGGTTCTGCAGCACCTTTCCTTCCAGATGGACCATGTCGCTACCTTTCTGATCATTCCAAACCACGTTTTCTCCGTCTTGTGGAATTGAGTTGGGATGTTAGTCCATAGAAGGAGTTGGATGGGGTGTGCAGGGAGGGGAGTCGAGAATAGGGAATCCCAGAGATCTGAGGCCCTCACCCAATATTTTGTCGCCTCTCTACAGCGTATCAGGCAACGTAGCATATCTTCTGGTTCATTTTCTGAACATACCGCGCATAAATCTGAACTGTTAGGGTCATTCTTACTTCTTCTGGTATGCAGCCACTGGTTAACCGGTAGAGCCACGTATGATATGAGCCATTGGAGGCTTCTGATTTTGACCGGACGGATTGACTTGAATTTTTTCCATGGTATTTGTGGGATCTGACTAGCGTCCTGGCCTATTAACGTCTGCCATCTGTTCTTGATCGTTGGGTCAGGATCATTTGTTTTGAGGAGTAAGTTGTATCCCAGTTTGACTGTGTATTCCTGGATGGGGACATTCGTTTGAGACTTCTGCTTCTGTCTGGTGTCCAAGCCAACTCTGCTGGATCAAATTCCAAGTCTTGAATCGCCGTATCTATTCTGAAGATTGTTTTTGGCCATGATCCCAACACTCTTACTTTTTTTAGTGCAAAAGGGCTTAGGACTGTTCTTTCCACCTCCTTATTCAGGATAGATGGGAGGCCTTGCGTGGAGGGGGTAATTGGGAAAGAGGTTAACACCGCCAGGGTATCCGACCCTTGTTGTTTATGGGAGAATTGATAGGCCCTTGAGGGGGTTAAATCCTGCACCCTCACTCCCCATTCACCCGATTTCCAGGTGGAGGCTTCGCTCAACAACGCCTTCCAGCCTTCTAGGATGCGGTTGATAATGGATTGTAGATTCTCGTCTCATCGATGACATCCTTTGAGTTGGGAGGCAAGTTCCTGTTCTGTCACCCAGTCCTTTTTCTCCTCGGTCCACGTATGGCTCACTTTCCAATTTGATTAACGATAGCCATCTCCTTCCTCAGGCTTAAGGGATAGTTGTTGATCACTTTCGTCTCTCACCCACGGATTGCCAAACAGGGGTTGCCTCAGTACCTCGTCTTTGGATTTGGGTCTACCCACCTTCTTCGGCACAACTTCCTGCCATATCCGTAGCAATGCAGTCCAATATGGTGTAGGAGGCCTGGCTTCGTTTGGACCGGTTCCTCTTCGTTGATTTCTGCGCCCTGTACTTGGGCTCCATTCCTTGGTCATTGCCCAGAACAGACCGGAAATATTTGCCGGTGTGCTGTAGGTGCTAGGCCCCTGATGCTATCCAAGGCTAGTTTATTCCATGCCATACCAGGTTTAGTCAGTAGTTTGACTATCCATTTAACTTGTAAACCTTTGGTTTCCTGTTTGGGGTCTACGATACCAAGACCTCCTTTGCCTTATTTCCTTGTGATGTAATGGCAAGCTATCTTAGGTGTGCAGTTCTCTTTGTTGGGGTCGCCCGACCACAAGTATGCTCTTGCTTTACGGTTTAAGTTCCTTGATTGTATGGTCCGGAACTGTCCAGATTGACGTTATGTACCACATCATTGAAAAGATAGATGTGTTGATGGCTAGTGCACGGCCGAGCAATGATGTGAATGTGCTACCCCATCTGCCCAGTTTGTTGACGAGTATATTTTGGGCCATTTGAGGGGCAAAGTCATTGTTACATCTTCGATGCCACACGGGTCCTACCGGACCCGACTTAGGGCCGGAGGGACACACCAGGGCCTCAAGGCCCGACCTTTTTGTATTACAGGCCCTAAAGGCCTGATTTTGGGACCAGCACCATCGGGTAGGCCCAAACGACACTTCGTTTGGGCCTGGCGGCGCTCTTGAAGCTGCCGCCCGCCGATTGAGGCTGAACCGWCCATCTGGACGGTCCAGGGTCTGGCCTGGCCTCGCAGCATTGAGGCCAGACCATGGCCTACCGGTATAAGTACCGGTACCTGCCTCAGTTGAGGCATCGACCTACCGACACTATACCGGTACGGTATGGTCAGCGCCAGAGCGCTGTTTTGATGCGCTAAACTTAGTGCAGGGGCTGAAGCAGGAGCGCAGCATAGCGCAGATTAGCGCAGCAGCGAGCGGAGCAGCGGCAGGGCGACTGAGCCAGCACGGCGGCCATTGCCGCCTGAGGTACCGGGAGCTTGGAGGATCTCTCCTCCTCTCCCTCGCCAGTCCTCTCTCTCTCTCTCTCCTCTTCTCCTCCTTCTTCTTCTTCTTCTTCTTCTTCTTCTTCTTCTTCTTCTTCAGATTGGAGACTATCTAGTTGGACAGAGATCAGGGTTGGACTTCGGTGATACGAGACTGTGGTACTTACCTGATTGGAGACTTGGAGATGGTTGAGGTTGATACTCGGCTGCATCGCAATTGGACACCGGTTACATCTGGACTCGGTTATCTCCGACATTGGTGACCTTTGGTCCTCGACATTTTGATCTTGTTATATGACATTCTGGACTACTACTTCGGAGACCTACCGGACTCTATCTTGTGACCTATCAGTGTGATCTACCTCCTACCTCCTTCGTCTCTCCTCCCCCCTTTCATCTGTGCATGTGTGTACGGGATCTGGGTATCTTCTATGTATGACCCAGACCCCACCATCTCATGATTGTGTGTGGAGTGATGCCATGTAGGTCAGTCTATGTGAGTCAGTTCGTTATCAGACTTCCGCTGCATAAATGCTCATCCTATATTGGTTGATCTTTGGTTCTGCCCATACTCATTGAAGTATGTAACAGTCATCCTTTGTCAGCAAGATGCCTAGATATCGCGTAGGTGTCTCCGGTGTCTCCCATGTCATGTCTGCCTCGGGAAAAAAATGGACCATTTCTCGATTTATGTGTGTCATCCTTGCGCAGGGGCCATGCTAATCTTCTCTGTATCGTTCCAATTTTAACGGATGTCTCGAAGGACACATGTTCTTCTTCTTCTTTCTTTCTTTCTTCTTCTTTGGTCTCTATCTCTTTGCAAGTGCTTTCATTACTTTTGCTATTGGGCGGCATTGTTCTTCCTTGTAATTTGTCAGAATGAGCCAGGATCGTAACAAAGGTTGTACATCTATCCCCAGAGTGGAACCAAATTTTCTCCGTCACTGCTACTCCCTAGTATGTGATGCTTCCCTGTTAATATGTCCATTCCTCTGAGCTCTGAGTGGCTGTTATGGACATTGGTCAGGGGTGTAGAGTCCTCTGGTCTTCAACCTGTTGTTTCCTCTCAGGTGACTGAGTTGAATCACGTTTTTGCACCCGTATGGAAAGCCCAGGTAGGCTGTCTACGGAAGACCCATACACGCATCAGTGGGCTTCTGTTGTTGTCTGAGAAATTATGCATTTCTTAATTTTCTTCTGAACGGCGTTAATGTCAAGCAATCCCCCTCTTTGGCGGTCTGCCCATTGGTGCCCAACCCTTCTTTCCTGGCACATCTGCAATTCTGAGGCTTCAACCCTGAACTGAAAACCCTGGTGACCTGGTCACTCTTCCTGCAGCTCTCCCTTGGATTCTTATGCTAGGGTGTTTTTTTTGGGGGGCACGTATCTATATCCTAATGTTCTTCTGTGGTGTTGTCTTTGTATTGGTGTAGTTTCAAGCATGCCCTCGAGAATCGTCATCCGAGCAGGCCTGGAAGTTGTCGTACATCCACTAAAGGAGGGGTTCTGTCTTCGCTGGTCCAGGACGAGCGTGCGGAATTAAAGGCAGATTATCGGAAAGATGCACCACCTGAACGCCTTGAACCATCGCAGAACAAGGGTGCAAAACGGCATGACTCGGCCATTTGTAGTACTGGGGAGGTGACTGCATCAAGATTGGCAGACTTGGATACTGTCGTGCACAACAATCGTAAAACAGGACGTGCCAGTGCCCATTTGGAAGGATGCCTCGCCCAGGATGTGGCAACTATGGAAGGGGCTGAGGGGACGAGGGAGACGGCAGTGGACTCTGGGCAAGCAACATCCATGAGAGCTGTGGATTTAAGTAAGAATAAGAGTGGGGATGGGAACGCTGCGATTCCACCTAGTGATATGAAGTGTACTAGTCCATGCAATCAATATACAATGAAGAGGAGTAATGCAGCATTCACAATAGACAGTGATGGAAGTCTGGCGAAACGCGTGCGGAAAGATGGTGTGGCAGATGCTGAAATGGCAAAGGGAGAGGGAAAAAGTCGTGGAGCTGTAGTAGAAGAGGAAACCTCGACAACTTCCTCGTACAAAGCAAGCCAGTCAGTGATCCCATGTCTGGAGGTTGTATTGAGTGTGGATGAAACACAAGGGCAGCCTGTCACAGACAGGGGTGACGAGCAAGGAAATGCTTCATGCCTGGGGTATGATTCCATGGCTGGAAGCCAGGCTTGCTGTCAAGATGGAAAGGACAGCAAAAGCAAGCATTCTGCAGAAGAGTTGATGAGGAATACTGATGGGGGACACACCACAGGTGATCCTCTCGCTGTGAAGATGACTGGCTTAACCCCACCAAAAGGGCCCAGGGAAGGGGTTCCATTGGCTGCCGAGAGGAACGAAAAAGAGGCATCCTCCTCTTTCAGAATCAACATCATGGGAATGGGGATGGGCGGTGGTGAGATATTGAAGGTTTCGAATTCAGAATGCACAGAGCTCACAGTTGTTGTGGATACAGCGGATTGTGAAGCTAGTGTGGCAGCAGAGCAGGAAAATGTTTGCACGACTCGCATGGGCAGTGGTAATCATACACAACCCCCACCCAGAACCCTTCTGCGAATCTGCACTGAGTCTAGTCATAATGAATCTTCGACCGCTGATGATGTCAGGAAAAATACGTTGCAGGCCAAGACGAAGCAAACGGTGTTTTCTGACAGCCTCGACATCCCAAGTCAAAATGAGCTGGTAGCTGGAGGTGGAGTGCCTGCGTGTGGAGTGGCTGAAGATCGAGGAGAGTACGCGGAGGAGGAACCTACCTCCAGGAGCATATTGCTGAGTGCCCAATCACATGGAGAAAATTGTCAAGCTGACAAAACTGCACCTTGTACACTGTCACACGCTGCCACGGGGTCAAGGAATCTCGGCAGCGCAGTCAAAAACTTTTCTGAGGTGGCATGTGACAGCGGCCACGAGGACAAGAAGGACAGTCTCATGGGGAAAGTGGACAACATTGTCATTCTGACAGATGTGAAGGTGTCTGACAACCCAGTCAGTATGACCAGAAAAGAGGATAATATTGCCAGTCTGGCAAGGGTACAGGCATCTGACAACCCAGTCAGCTCTCATCCTTGTGAAAGTGTCATCAACGCCTCACGTGCAAGGGCTGGGTCACAGGTACAAGATTGCCACTCTGATCAATCTCCAGCTCCTGAAGCCTCAGGGATTTCGGTCGGTTGTACACCTCCCCTCATTGACTCATGCCCCAGTGCCGACATGGCCAAGAGTGACTTTCCACAAGGAACAGCTGGGTGCAGGAATGATGATGAGCGAAAGGACAAGGAGATGACAGGAACGGAGGACAAAACAGTCTGCCAGACTAGTGAGATTAGTCCAGGAAAGATGAAAAAGAAGAAGAAGAAGAAAACACAACTAGACGTCGCCGACGAAAAATCAGAGGATTTTACCTGGGAAAAAAGGTATGGAAAGGTCATGTTCGACGTCTGGGACATCGGGAACATGAGAGCATTGATCCGCTACAGGATACACTGCGCATCTGCTCATGAAGACAATACAACCCCCACAAGCAGGAGTTTGGGAGGGAATCAGCCAGTAGGAGTTCCACAGGGTGCAGAAGTGTCGGAGATGCCGATCTCGGTCAGGCCAAAGATGGAATACCAGCCGGAAAAGGTGAGAGTGATGTATTTTTTTGTGTGTCATGCATGCACAACAGGCTGCATGTTACATACTCCAATGAGTATGGGCAGAACCAAGGATCAACCAATGTAGGATGAGCATATATGCAACGGAAGTCTGATGAACGGACTGACTCACATAGACTGACTCACATAGACTAGATGCTCAGCCCCGTACACACATACACAGATGAATGGGGGAGGAGAGACGAAGAGGTGATGGGGAGGTAGACAGCACCGAAAGTCACCGAGATAGAATCTGATAGGTCACCGATATGGTAGTCCAAAATGTCATCCAACAAGATCAAAATGTCGAGGACCATAGGTCACCAATGTCGGAGATACAGAGTCCAAATGTAACCGGTGTCTGAACCGCGATGTCGCCAAGTATCAACCCCAACGATCTCCAAGTCTCCAATCCGGTGAGTACCACAGTCTCATACCACCGAAGTCCGACACTGATCTCTGTCCAACTAGTATAGGTCTCTGGTCTGAAGAAGAAGAAGAAGAAGAAGAAGAAG